TGGGTTCTTCTTTAGATTTTCCGCTGCGCTTTATCTTGTTAGGTTTGATTTTTCGCGGTTGCGAGGCAGCGACTGATCCACCAGGGTCAAGGTGCCGACGGGCCATGAGGATGAAAGCCCAGAAATTTCCATCTGTGAGGATGTTTTGGATAACTTGGAGGAGGAAGAACTCCTCGGATCAGAGCATGATCATGAGCCTGAAGGTTTGAGTGACATGGAGGAGAAGCTCAAGTTTCCACGTGAGAGTGAGGATCCGCCTTACTTGCGTCCAGCAAAGTTATCATCCCTTGATGCTCTGGCCGAAGTTGTGGAGATAGAAAGGCTTAAGAAGCTAGGCGTTCTTCTTGACCCCTCAGTCCTGAGTGATGTGCCTCAGACAAAGATCAAGGATCTCACTACGAGGATGGTTTATGACTGGAGGGAGAAAACCTCAGGGAACAACAAGGCCATTTGGTTGCGCAGAGCCCGCTATGTTGCAAGAGAATACTGTATGCGTGGCTTGAATCTCGTGCTGACATATTTGCTCCGGCTTCCTCATGCCTGATGAACTGACTGTTATTGATTCACCTCGTGACAAGTTCCAGTCCAGACCGTGGTTTGGTGGGAATTGACGTCTCGGACGCATTCCTAACAGTGGATCAGGTGGTGCCCGCTCGAGTCGTTTACAAACCAGTGGATGGCGGCCCAGCTGTCTACTTTGCTTTGGGCAAGGTGTTGCCGGGTCAAAGATACAGGAGTGAAACGTGGTATGCCTCTCTGACTGAGTTTCTGGGAAGCTCACTGAACATCGAAGCTCTGGAGTCGTACCCTACTTTGTTGCGTGCGCCCCAGGACAGTGTCATGCAGCTCCATGTTGACGACATCCTTGGCAGCACGACCCGCAAATATGCACATGAAACCTTGAAGCCAACTCTGCAGTCCAAGTACAAGATCAAGTTTGAGGTGTTGAGTGAGCCAGGGGATGTGATCTGGTTCCTCAAGCATAAGCTGCGTCTGATCAGTGCAGATCAGCTTCTTGTCACACCGCATCCGAAGTACGTTGAGCGCTTGGTTGACGAAGACCCCATTGCTTGCCGAGCTGGAAAAGATCAGTGCTGACAGCAGCCAGGGCCGAGTGAGCCTCATGCCAAGATCTTCAGGCAGTGTGTGGGCATACTCCTGTATGTCGCGACTGACTATGTGGGCTGTCAGTACACCATTGGCCTGTTGGCAAGCAAGATGAGCAACCCCAATCAGACGGCCATGAAAGCACTCAGGCGCTTGGTTTCGTAAATGCAAGGCATCGTGTCAGAGGGCATCCTCATTTCCAACCGTGGCAAGCACACAAGGTTGATGGGCAACTCTATGAGCCACGAAGCTTGGATCGAATCCTTCTCAGACTCCAGAACTTTCTGGTCACTTCTCACAAGGGGGGTAGAACGAAAGGAGACCCGGGCTTGAAGCCCCGAGCCTTTCAAGCCCTCCTTTGCGCAACACTCAGAGCAACCCAGAGAAAAAGGAGTCGAGCCTTTTCGCTTCTTGTAGTGGTAAGTGTTGAGGCTAGGAGCAGTGCAAGCCCACAGAACTGAGTATGATATGTTGGTGAAAAAGTTCTCCGGGACAGGGTCGTGCGGTACGGAAGACAGGGTTAAGGCTTAGGGTTTTTTGTGGATACAGCAAGTAAGCTAGTGAGAAGATTGGGATCATACAGGGCGTTACTTGCAATGTTTGGAGGGCGTGGTAGTTTCCCAAAATAAAGGGACCCCAATATAGACCCCAACACACTATAGTTTTTACTATAGGCACCCCCAAGAAAGTACCCCTAATGTGGGAAACCCGAAGCCCTAAACCCTGTAACGCCCCAGGCCCTATAAGTTCTATAAAGGTACCCCTAATTTTTTGAAACTAACATGTTTGAGGGTTCACGGTAAGAAGCCCGAGCCGTAAACCCTGATCTCTTGCAGTATGTCCTGGGCAAGGTTCAGAATGCCCATATGAGGGCACTACTATGGGGGTTATCAAGGGGATACCTGGACTTTCGACTATGGCTCAAATAGCTAAGGGTTAAGTATGTTTTCTTTTGTCAAGATTTATGCAGTGTTTTGGGAATGTTGGTAAATGCAAAGGCGGCTTTCACTTGCTGTAGTTGAGTAGATAGACCTTCAGAATTCAAGCTATTCAAATGGCGGCCCGCACCGTTCACGAAACCTTATTCGCAGCAACAACCCCACGAAGATTTCGTTAACCATCTTAAAACGATATGGTAGTTTCCCAAAATGCCTATAAATCCCTATAAAAGTGCCCCCATATTTCTCAGCCACCTCCATAAACCATGCAGCGGATTGGGTTTCCCTGCTGTACTGACTGAAAAAGGTTCCTGCTGTTAAGGATCCTTTCAAGACGTCGGAATTTCTCAGCACAGCTGCTATATGATCTGTAATAAAGACCCCATATCCAGAAGAATCACTGTATATTCTCTATATACCGCCTGGATACCCTAATTTGTCAAACTCACGTCCAGTGTTGTGGAACACACACACACACATGATCTCCAAGGTTTTAATAGGGCACGTCATCTTACTGGTGCGAAAAAGCGGCGGGGAGAGCGAATGTGCGGCAAATATACGGAAATCCTCAGCCAGGTTGAACACAGGGTACTATAGTAGGGCAGTCTACTGGGATTCTGGTAGGTGTCCATTCCACCCGCACTCCCGTTATAGTAGTTTCCATTTTTTTCCACTCTCCCAATACAACCCCAATATAGCCCCATTATAGTAGTTTCCATTTTCTTTTCCATTATCCCAATAAAACCCCAAGAAACCCTTAAGTCGTCTTTGCTTTGTTTTGAGGTGTTGGAGGCGAAGCAGGCAATGACAACCCAATGGCCTCAAACCGGAATCCTAAGGGTTTAGGGGTTTAGGGTTTAGGGGTTTAGGGTTTAGGGGTTTAAGGTTTAGGGGTTTAGGGTTTAGGGCCACAGATCCTGAATGATACCTTAAACCCTAAACTCTAGGTTTCCATTTTCGTTTCCATCCCTCCACCGCCTACGAACCACCAGGCGGGCAGACCCCCCCCTGCAAGCCTTGTCTATGACTCTTACAAAGTTTCGGCCGCACAGCTTCTGGTAATGTCTTAACAATCCGCATCACCAGAAAGCCTATCATGGCAAACTATTCCATGTAGGCGAGTTGAAATATTAGGCAGAAGGGATAATCTTCTACAAGAAATCCCCACGCCTTCGCCATGGCGATCTCTGCGAGTGGTCTGGGGACGCTACTGTTTTTGTGCTTCATCGGCCCAGTTGCTCGGTCCTAGGTTGGTAGGGGTACAGAGGGAAGATACGGTAGTTGCTTAAGTTTCTTGATAAATTATCTAGTCTAATTGGTAGTTGTTCAAAATATCCGTCCCCAAAGATACTGTAGGCTCCCTTTTTGGCTAGGATCTTCCTTTTCGGACGTGTATCGACAATGATCCTTCCGATCAAGAGGCGTTTCAAACAGCCCCCAAGCATCCAGGGCTTCGAAGATTTCCTGGGAGTTTCCATAAACGAGGGGCCCCAATATACACCCGATTATAAGTATATTCCCCATTGCAAAGTTAAGACTTTGAAAGAGGGACCCCTAATTCCTGGAGCCCCGCCACGGTGTTGGCTGCGCAGTCCGTGTGGAGAAGACAGCTGGAATTTGCGTTGCCTTAATCTTGAAGGGAATTCAGAGGCTGTTGGTACTACAAGGGCCTAAAGAACGACCTGGTTTGCTATAGGTTCTCGTTCAAGGAGCTATGTCAGGGGTTTGAAGGGGAAGTGAAATGAAAACTGGGCTTGTTTACTGATTTGAAAGCTCAGTGCAGTCCTTTTTCGGGTTCAGCCAGGCAAAAGTAAGCTCGCCCGACAGTCTCTCTCTCTCTCTCTCTCTCTCTCTCTTTGACAGCTTTGACAGCTTAGGTAGTATACCTGGTCCGATACATTGTCTACGAGCACGTCCTCCACAAGCACGCTGCTGCACAGGCAGTCGGTTTTCAAGAGCGAACTGCGCAATGCTATTACCACTGCTATTATTCTTCTTTTTAATAATACTCCCCTAACTACTGTTACTATTACGGTTGAGCTCAGCAACCAACTATAGTTCTCCTTAAGTAGATAGAGTATAGCTTTGGGTATATTAGAATAAGATCCCCATATGCCCCATATTCTATCTACTTAAGAGGGACTACAGCCCTAAACCCCATATTCTATCTACCTAAGGGGGACTATAGCCTTCCAGGGTCTTGACAACTTCGCAATTCTTCAACCTTCTGAGCTTGGGTAGTTTTTGAGGTCTCCCGGAGACGCCTCTGATTTTTCTTTCGAACCTCAAACCCTAAACTCTAGGGGTAGATGGTGGTTCATTAAATCTTCTGTAATCCTTATAATCCTGAGGCCTGGAATCCTAAAGATAAGACCCAAATCCCCAAATCTTGAAAGCCTGAAACCCTAAATCCTGAATCTTCTTGTTGGTTTCGGTTATCATGGATCAGTCATCCCTGCTGGAGAGTTTAGGGTTGAGAGCTTTAAGGCTTCATGCTAAGCCTTAGGTGGTCCTTCGGAGACCTATATAGCGTAGGGTATATAATGGAAAAGAGTACATATACAATATACATATATATATATACATATGTATATGTATATATGTATATATGTATATATGTATATATGTATATGTATATACGTATATGTATATATGTAACTGATAGGGTTCAGGGTTTGGGGTGTTAGCAGGGGTGCCGGGCTCACAATTGGGATACTTGGGGACAGCAAGTAGACTTACCTAGTCAACAAGGCCGCCAAGTTTACGTTCCTGAAATTTAATGCTCTTGCAATAGGAATGCATAGGGACGCGAACGCCATTACCAGAATCCCTCTTTGTCACTGTGGTTCACTAGTCTTGGTAGAACAGGAATATGGAAGGCTAATGCCCCACTATTCGTTGGTGTTGGGAATTCAGCACAAGCAGGTGAGCGAGGGGAAGGATGGAAAAGAACACATGACCACAACTGCCTACATCTTCTCCTTGGTTGGTTATGCCATCGGTATTGGCAACGTTTGGCGCTTCCCATATGTCATCAGCAAGAATGGAGGTTCAGCTGCAGTTATGGCCTACTTGATTTGTGCAGTTCTGGTGGCATGGCCCCTCTTTATTTACGAGATGATCCTGGGGCAGTATTTACGGAAAACTTTTGTGGCAACATGGACCCACATCCGTCCTCGATGGGCTTCATTTGCATGCGCTCAATTCCTGCTCCTTTTCATTGCGCAGACATACTTCTCTGTCGTCATCACATACACGCTGCCCTACATCGCGGCCAGTAACCGGGTTGCGTTCAAGGAGCTCAAACAAAGTTTTCCATGATGTTGTGTTTACAGCGTGAATCATGTGGTTTCCTCACTAAGTTGCCATCATAGTTTGGGTAAAAAATGCTTCCCAATCATGGTATACCCTGGATCCTAAGCTGTGCAACTGAATTTAAGTTCCTTAACAGAAGCCCAGGTTGCGAGCATCCGCTGCCATGGACAGAGTCCTCATCCACAGAGTTCTGGTCCAACAGCATTCTGAACAGCTATCCAGACCTGAACAGTAAGCCTCCAGGCAGGGGGCTCCACCTTCCGATTTTACTTTGGGGTGAGAAGCTGTCTATTCTGATGTCTACCAGTGGTCTTGGGTATCACTATGCGCCCTAAACCCTAAGCCCTAAATCCTAAATCTTAAGCCCTTAACCCTGCAGCCTAAGCCCTAAACCCCCCTAAACCCTAAACCCCAAACCCTAAGCCCTTAAAAGGACCAACCTGTGCAGGCTTGGGGCCCATCCAGTGGCGCTTGGCCGTCTCCCTCTGCATCTTTTGGCTCATCACATACCTTTCTGTAGCCGGGCAGGTTATGGGGGTTTTCTGGGTGTACCGTTGAAGGATTTAGGGTTTTAGGGTGTTAGGGTTTAAGGTTTAAGGGGCTATAGATGTTGTTATTATATGGGGTTTAGGAGCTATAGGGGTTGTGTAGGGTTTAGGGTTTAAGGGCAGTGGGTGCTGTATAGGGTTCAGGGTTCAGAGGTTGTAGGGTTGTTTTAGGCCTTAGGATTGAGTTGCCATTGTACAGAATTCAAATGGAAGCAAAAGTGGAGAATAAAATGGAAACTGGAGTTATACAGCGTGTGCTGTAGGGATTAGGGGGCTTATTTCAACTTTGTTTAATGGTTTTACCCAATCCATGCTTATTGTAGAGTTGTCTCTTCTTCGCCCTCTCTATGTGCCTTACCCTAAACCTAGGCCCTAAACCCTAACCCTAAACCCTAGGCCCTAAACCCTAACCCTAAACCCTAAGCCCTCAACCCTTAACTCTAAACCCCAAATCTTAAGTTCCTTCGCCGCCGCCCAGGTAGCGTTTGGCAAGGGCATTCTTGCTCAGATCACCTATGTGACAGTGATCATGCCTGTTGTCAATCGGCTGAAGGGTTTAGGGTTGTGGGTATGGGGTTGGGGGTTAAGGCTTTAGAGTTGAGGGTTTTAGGCTTTCGGGTTGGTGGTTTAGGGTTCAGTGTTTAGAGTTAGGATATAGGTGAAGGAAATGTACGCTACATTACCTTGGGCTAAGGGTCTAGGGTTTAAGGTTTGTGGTTTTGGGTTTAAGGATTTGGAGTTGAGGGTTGAGCAATCCAGATGGGAAGTGAGGTTCGTATCCTGTTCTTTGGTGCGTGTATATAGGGTTCCACTGGGCTTTTTTCACTCCTAGTAGGCACTCTACATTTCAGAGTCGCGGCAAATTAAGTCAGGCGTTATTGAGGGTCCTGAATTTGACATGTCAGATGTATTGTTAAAGGGATTGTAGGAGTGTATGGGGGGTTAGGTTTTAGGGTTCCGGGCCTAGGGTTTTTAGCTTCAGGAATAGCGCTTAGCAAAAAAAGCTCTATGACGTGGTTGCTGGTTCGGGGTTTGGGTTTAGGGCTTAGGGTGGTCTCCCCAGTTGGACACCCGATGTATACACTCGCCAGTACTACTTATGAGAAGGATCCCCTTATTTTCGGGGTATACAACCTGACAAGATCAAGCACAAGTAAGCCATAAACCGTACACCCAAAGGGGTAAGTCCTAAATCCTAAACCCTAAGCCCTAAAACCTTCAAAACATAAACCCTACAATCCCAAACTCTGAAGCCCATAAACCCGAAGCCCTATATTACAATCCCTCTATAACCCCTATAACACCCAAGCCCAAAAGTAAGGTTCTCATGGTCATCCTCGTAGTTGTCACTACGCAACAGGAGGGTGCACTGGATGGCATCAGGTCGGGGCATTCTCAAAAGGGGTTTAGGGCTGAGGGCTGAGGGCTTAGGGCCTAGGGTTTAGGGTTTAGGGCTTAGGACTTAGGGGTTAGGGCTTGGGGTTTAGGGCTTAGGGTTGAGGGTTTGCTGTGATGTTGCCGTGCAGGATGTGATGAGTAGGTGTCAATGATCCTTCAAGTGCATGGTTGCATGCGAGGTGCTGCCATGGCCTGGCTGTAGAAGGCCATCTCACACAATCACCCACCCTACGCCGTCAGAGGCGGCCCAACCACCCAAACCTACTCCTTGTAGGATTTGGGACGTAAACTCAGTTAGGTCCATCTTGGCCAACAACACCTCTTCATTTTGATGTAAGGCTGTCTTTAAACATTTCTAGAGCCAAGCGCTGGGAGGGATGTTTGCTATGAGATTTGCCTTAGCTGTGTGCTGTGAGATTTGAAAGGTCCGGGAGGTGCTGGTTTACAGGTCCTGAAAATGCTTGGAGAAGGCCAGGGCCCTGCAAATGCTGGCTTGGCCCCCTGGAGGAGGCCCAGGCGAGGCCCCTGAGGCCCGCCTGTGGCGGTTTCTTTTATTTGGGGTGCTGTTCGTCGCTCGCAGTGGAGGCCCTAGACCCCCCAGACCCCCCCCCCAAAATTCACCCTAGAAAAAAACCAGCCAGCGCCCAGAGCTTCGAATACAGGGTTTAGGGTATATGACTTTATAAGGGACTAGTACTGGTCTGGAGAACTCCTCCGAGTACCTGGCCGTGGGTGCTGCAGTACCCCTGGCTGTGGGAAGGCAGGCAAGCGTGCTGGATCGACTTGCCCCATCGATGTCGAGGGGCATAGGCGCCGCCCACCATCGAAGGTGGGCGGCCTATGCCATGAATTTAGGGTTTTAGGATTTTAGGGTTTAGGATTTAGGGCAGAGGGTTTAGGGCTTAGAAGTGAACCAGAAAAATGCTCTTGGTTAGCTGGGAATGAATTCAAAGGAAAAGAAGATAGTTACCATAATGGGTTTTATAAGGACTATTTTGAGGATCCATTCCTTCATCCCTAGCTAACAAAGGGTAAGAAAACTGGGTTCAACCTTCACTCATTGAGATTTCACAGCTTAGGGTTTAGGGTTTGAGAGGATCTGGGGTCTCTAGGGGTTCAGTTTGTTAGGCTTTTAGGTTTTGGGGTCCAAGGTTTAGGGTTTTTGGACTTAGAGCGGCTGGATTTGAGTTTTTTGGGGTGATCTGGATGGGCAGTGCGCATCTCGGAGCCAGAGCTCGGAGTTGAAATTATTCACAGGGATTTTGATGGTTTAGCGGACATTGCCCCAAATCATGGTTCCCCCCTCCGCATTGGAACCCGTATTGTAACATGATTGAGGAGAGCCCCCTAGGTACTACATAGGCAAGTTTGAAGTGTCTCAACTGGCACGACTGGATGTGTGGGCAACAGCCCTGGGGCAAATCCTCTTCAGCTTATCCCCTGGCTTCGGAACGGCGATCACTTATTCCAGCTCATGGCCGATGATTGAGAACATTTTGAAATTGTTTGATTCCAATCCCTAGATCCCCCACTTCGTTCCCTGAAATTCTTATGAAGACAGCAGATTCGATTCTGCTCTTTGCGAGGGATGCCCGGTCCATAAGCAACCAAGGTTTCGCCAAAACTAACGAAGATGTCTACCGTGCTGGTTTGATTGTTGCTTTCTCCAATTCAGCATTCTCACTCTTGGGTGGCTTATCTGCAATTGCTGCTTGATGGGTCGATCCCTTTCTGGGAACACTGCCTTGGGTCCGGCACCGTTTTCTCTCATTTTTGCAGTGATCCTTCAGGTAATAAACGGTTCATTGGACGGCAGGGCAAGTCCAAGTCCAACAGGGGAGAACAGCTGTCGTTGGAGCCTTAAACGGTGGAAAGTCTAGCTCAACTTGAAGAGGAAGCGTGTATGATTGCCGGTACGAAGAAGCCCCTCCTTTTCACAAGCTTCTTGATCCAAGCTAAAGCTTGATTGCTTTGCGTGTCTCAGAAGTTACTCTGCTGGTCATCTAAGACGTCTTCAAATGGCCGGCATAGAAACGATGCACCCCTACCACTGTCGTTCCGAACCCTGTATCCCGTATTTAAGACCCTTACATAGGTGTTGTGAATTCTATCATAGCCTCTATGACCCTGCAAGAGTATAACCCCCATAGCTGCCATACAATGCCGTATGGATCCTACCCTTAACCCCAAGAGGGCCCAAACCCTCAACCCCGAACCCTAAACCCCAAACCTTCAGTGTTTGTTTTCTCGGGACCACCTCCTCCAGTTGCCCCGTGTCCCGAATGTCAGGGTCTTAGCACCCTAGCTGGATAAGGTTTTACACTCCAGGATTTAGGGTTTGCTGGCCTTTGGTTAGCTAGGAATGAAGGAAAGGATCCTTATAGTAGTCCCTATATAGCCCATTACAGTAGTTTCCATTTTCTCTCCGATTCCCTTATTCCCAGCTAACCAAAGGTAAGTTTAGGGTTGGAGTGTCAGGTGGATTCGCGGTCTTCTCGATGGTGGGACATCTGGCTGACGACAAAGGCCTGCCGGTGGAGGCCGCGCCCTCCCCGAAGCTAACAGTTATCCCAACAAAGGCCCCCGTCAGAAGGACACTAATTGGTTGTTGTGGGGCCGTTGTTGGATTCCATGAGGGTTTGGGAAGGGTGGGTTTAGGTGTAGGGCCCTCGCAGGATTTCAGAAGCGTGGCCATGCCGACTGCCTTTACACTTTACACCCTGCCCCTGACAGCATGTGGGAATTTATCATAACAACGCAAATCGAATCCCCAACAAGGACCCCCCAAAACCTTCAATAATCCCTATATATCCCTTGGGGTCCCTACATGGAAGGTTGGAAGAATTTTTGGCGCCCTTGTTTGGCACCCTGTAGAATACGATTTAATAAAACAAACAATGGTGCCCAAAGCGGGATAAACCCTAGACCTTATACCCTAACCTTAAACCTTAAACTCTACACCCTAGACCCTAAATCCCTAAATCCCTAAACCCGCCTTCCATGCAAACTTTGCCTCCTGCCAACCCTTTCCGTTTTCTTTTCCATTTCGTTCTCCATGCTTGGAGTAAGTACTGTTAGCAATACAGAAGGGTTCCTAGATAGATATCCCTATACAACCCCTGAACCCTAAACCCTAAACCCTGAAACCCAAAACCCTAAAACCCTAAAACCCAAACCCTAAAACCCAAAACCCTAAAACCCAAAACCCCAAACCCTAAAACCGCACCGTGTTCAGGGTCAAGGGTTTAGCATCCCTCGTGCTCCTTGGAAGGACGTGGCGACGAAGAGCGGAACTGGCCTTGCCTTTGTTATCATCTCTGAAGTAACTGAGTTGCTGTTAACTTGGGCCAGTATAGGGATAATGGAAAATAAAATGGAAACTACTATAATGGATTATATAGGGGATTATAGGAATTTAGGGATAGGGTTTAAGTTTATGGTTTAGGATATATAGGGCTTAGGGTTTAGGCTTGCCATAATTTGGAACCCTCATTATTTACTATCTGCCTATAATATTGTAATCAAAGTTCCGTGACAGCAACCCAGGCAATGACGCTCTTTGGAGACTTTCAGAACGTGATGTCGGTAACTTCGGCATGCTTGAAGTTTCAGGATTCAGAGGCTTAGACGTTGCCAGCTGCTGCACATTTAGGGGTTTTGTTTAAGGTATTATTAGGATTGGGGTTCCCAGTTGTAAGATTAGGGGTTTCGAGGATCTACCATTCATGGGTTTAGAGTGTGAGGGTCCGCAACTGCAGCTTGGGCGTGCTTCCGTTCTTTGATTTCGACCTACTTTGCTAGCAGTTCTGTTGTGCTGCTGTCTATGGAATATGAGGTCTTTTGAAACTACACGTGTGCAGTTAGGGCATGTGTAGGCTTTGAGGATTTCGGTTCGGGTTCAGCATGGTTTACCATCTTTGTAGGGTCTGGAAACAACATTTTGAAATGTGGTGTGTGCAAAGGGCGAGATTTTCTTCCGGGTTGGTGACAGAACAGTGTAATGCTGAAACAGCAGAAGTCCTAAACCCTAAACCTAAACGCTAAGCCCTGGGGTAGTTGCCAACCCCCAAACCCAGAGCTCCTCATCCCTTCATGTTTGGATCCTGAAGCGGAATTCCCTAAACCCTAATTCAACTGGGTTGCTGTTAAGGCACTTCGGTTAAGCTACCGTATTATGGGTGTATAGTACGTAATAAGTAATAGAGGGTTTCCTTCTTATGGTAACTTAACTTAAGTTCTTCAACAGCCACCCAGTCTGAACCCAGGTACTTTTCTTCGTCATGCTCTTTACCCTGGGCTTGGACTCCTCCTATGCGTGGACAGAAACAATCGTTAGCTGCGTGGATGAGTTTCTGGGACAATATGGATACAAGCGACCCATCTGGCAGACGTCGTTGTTGCTGTGTATCATCATGTTTTCTCTCGGCTTGATCTTCACGACGCGTATGGGGAACAACATCCTGGACGTCATTGACATGTTCGTTGGCACAATCTTTCTTCTTGCCGTCTGTTTTGTGGAGTCCGTTGTCTTAAACCTTGACGTGGGTTGGCAGCGCCTCACCTGTGCGCTGAAGACTGCCACGCTCGGCAACTTGATGCCAAAGTTGTCCCAAGTTCTCTTCAGTAAGGTATACAGGGCTAGTATGTGTAGATAAACTAAGCTCATATGTTTTGTGTCTCTGCTGGGACTGTAAGGAATTCCCCAAGAGGTTTCCAGACTGTTTCGCTCAGACTCTAAAGTCAGACCTCCCACGTAGCCGTACTAGCAGCCTTCAACCCCCAAAACCCTAAATCCTTAACCCACAACCCTAAACGCTAAACCCTAAACCAGCGCAGAACGGCGATAACTAAGGGTACTTGGAAGTTCCAGGTAGGCCCCTGACTCTTCACCCTAAGTCGGAGTTTGTCAAAGTTGCGCCTGCATAATCCGTAGCAGCCAACCTATGTAAGCAGCCCCTATAATAATCCTCTTTTATATATATATATCCCAAGATTTTTCATTTTCGAATTTCTTGGAAACGGAATTCTCCGTCGTGGGGGTAATATCCCTTAACCTTATGTTTACTCTAAACCCTCAACCCCTGCAAACCCAGTTAAGGCAACAAGCGGACTCCCAACGGCCGGAATCTATTCCCGCAGTGCCTTTGGCGCACTGGCTTGCACGTGACAGTGTCTTGACCATGCATTGAGGGTTTAGGGTTTGGGGGTTCAGGGTTTCGAGTTTAGGCTTTTGGGGTCTCTATGACAAGACTTCCTTGACGTTAGGGGCACATGGGGGGGACTTAGACAAAAGGAAAAGCCAGTGAGATTGGGCATGCTAGCCTGCAGCGCGACGAGCTGGCACTTTTTTTTTGTGCTTCCCGGGCGGATGTCTCAATTGGCTATGTTGGGCTACCCTTTCCGCACATCATGCTTGGCAACTACTGCCCAGACATACGCCTCTGCATACCTTTCTGGGTTCTGAATGCAAAGCCCTTTCCAAAAATGGCTGAGTTATGTTCATGGGTGAACATGCAGCTGTTTACTCCCGCCTGAGTCAGAACAGAACATGAGCGACAGGTTTTGCCAAAACGGAACTACCACACAATTATTCATATTTAGGGTAGTCTATTGCCAAGCTTAGGACCTAACAGCTCCCCTTCTGTCAATTCTACCTGAGAATCTCTACTACTTACTGAAGATAGACCTTGGACCCAAAAGCCCAGCAAAAACAAAACCTACACCTAACCTCTAGGTACTACGGATTCGAAAGCTTTAACCCCGAAGAAAACAGCCCAAAACTGAACCTCTAAGTATTGTAGAGGCCTGAATTATCACGAACATTGTATAAGGTACTCCAAAACCCGATCCTAGTTATTTAGGTTCCTACATGAAATCCTAAACCCTAAAGACCACTATACAGTCCCAGTTTCCATTTTATTTTCCATCGTCTTTCCCATTTGATTCTCCTTTTTGGGGGCAATATCCTAAAACCCTCCATAGCCTATACAATCCCCATATAACCCCACATGATCCCTAAACCACCCAAAAGCCCAAACCACCCGAAACACTAAACCCTAAGCCACCCTGCACCCTAAACCTAAACGCTAAACGCTAAACCCTGAACCATATGTCATTTCGATATATACCTAAACCCTAAACCCTAAACCCCTAAACCCTAAACCCTAAACCCCTAAAGCCTAAACCCTATATAAACCAAAAGTACTGATAATTTCCAGGTTCCTGCGGCTACGAGCCTGCTGTGCCTCTATCAGATCATCAGTGTGAGCCAAAAGCAGCACTCAACTTGCGTTTGGGGTTTAGGATTGCGGGTTTAGGGTTGCGGGTTTAGAGTTTTACGGCTTTTGGTTCAGGGTTTTGAGTTTGGGGTCTGGCACTTTGGGGCTTGGGAAGGCTTGTTCTTCAAGCTGGATCTGGGGATTTACGTTCGGAACAGGCGTAAGGCAGTTTTGGGTGTCTAAAATTGTATTCCATATAATACTTGCTTAATTACTGTAACAGGATATTCTTTCATATTCCCTTCCCATTTATGGGGATACCCTTCCCTAAACTCTCAATCCTAAACTCTAAACCCCAAAGCCTAGATCCCAAGCCCAAAACCATTCCTGAGATGAAATCCTTAAATCATTATGGGGACAGTAATCCCCATGTAATCTTCTATAACCAATAAATCAAGAAGAGCTAGAATTTTACAGGGCCCGTAAATCAATCCAAAAAGGTATGGAGGATATCCTACCCTAAACCCTAAACCCTAAACTCTATACCCTAAACCCTATAGATTATAGACTATTAAGCAAGGTATGGAGGATATCCGACCAGTCTGGTGGCTTGGGGCTGGATCTTCTTGGCTGTCTGTGTGGGGGTGACATGCGTCACCATCTGGAGGCGCGATGCAGGCTCACTTCCGAAGGTTGATGATGACCTGCGCTCCTCAGGAGTCGAGAGGGTACGCTTTTTCATGGAGGGTTTCAATAATTGTAAACGCTAGCGCGCGCCCGCCTCGGCTGGCCGGGCTTCCCACTGTAGGAACATGTAATTATAGACATACAGGTATTTAAGTTAGGTATATAGATACAGTCACATGCCTATTACATACACAATAAAACCCTAGAAGTCCAACTGGGGACGCGCAAGTAGGACCCAGGAAACCGGTGGGGAAAATGTTCGGGGCCAGCGTTCGGACCTTGGGTTTAGGGTTCCGTCTTGCGGGTTGATAGGCGTTCTTAGGGTTTGGGGATTTAGGGTTTAAGGTT